GATGCCGATGGCGTCTATGCTTAAGCCGGGGATTAGGTCGGTGATTAAAAGGAAAGAAAGGGATTCTTTCCAGGTAGCCTTAATAAAGGCAGGTAGAATTTGCTCCTTGCACTACACTTTCACAAAAACACGTGTGCTCTGGTCGGCTGCCCGCTAGGAACTCCCTTTCTGAGGTCGTTGCTGTATACCCTTTTTCAAGGCGCTTGATTGCTGCATGGCAAAAAATGGGTTAACTATTCTGCCATTACTGTTCAGTGGTCAGTGGTAGCAACGATAGCCAATTAAAAATGTTTGGGAGACATTTAATTTAAACGTCAAACTTCTAAAATGGAGAGGCGAGTGATTTAAGCACGTGAATAAAAATATAATTAAAAACTTTGAATTTAAAAATATGTGAAATTAGATTAAGTAAACATGTATAGATTGCTAAAATTAAGCAGAACAACTTTAAATACTTGTCCTAGCAACGTTAGTAGAATGACCGGTTTAAGTGTTTCGGAAAAAACGTGCCTGTTATGTAAACAGTTAAATAATGGTTCTAGTAAGTAGGAAGTAAACACTAAATTGAAAACTACATATAATGGCTTTGTCTGTATCATATATTATAAGTTTATTCGTATTACCTATGTGCTTTCCTTTTCCTATTCCCCTATTTATAATCTTTTTAGATTGTAGAGAATATATTTTACGTTTTGTTTACTTTTAGATCATGTAAGAAGTCAGTCTACTATCATGAATCCAAATATAACAACCAGAAAGAAAGTTAAAAGGAGAAAATATATGAAAAAATATGCTGAGCTTGTTGTAGGTATGTTATGGACTGTTTTAGATTAGAGGTGGCGATTCACATTCAATGAATATATTTTTAGTGACCGATAAGTCGTCGTCACAACATAAGGCAACAGTACAGAAACTTACATCGACTGATATCAAATTATTGGCCATGACCAACCTTAATTTAAGCGAACTATACAAGTTGAAAGAATTGTCTAAAAACACAAATTATTTAGAGCAACATACGTACAATAATTTAAATGTTGTAGAAAATATTCCCAGTACTAGCAATAGTTCTAACGTTGATGATTTCAGTATTTTAAATGTCAAAGCTGAAGAAAAAGTATTATTGTGTAGCATACCAAGTTCTATTCCCCCTGCAGTCAGTGACGAATGTACAGAATTTGTAGACCCAACGATAGAAAATTGTGACAATACAAATACATTGCCAGAGGCTTCGGGTACAACATTAGGAGATTTGGATTTTGAAAGGTATTTTCTTTTCATTGAATATTTATATATATTTTTTAATTTGCTTTTCTATATGTTTCTTTGAGTGTTGTGTACACATTACTAATGTGCTGTTTTTTACATTTATAGTTTGAAAGTTGGGAGTACCTTCCAACCAGAAGAAAGCGAAGAGAATATTGTTGAAGCCGATGAAGTGAGAGAACCTGCCAGACAGATAGAAAAAACTCATCTTAGTCAAAAACATCGTGATGAAATTTCATGGAAAACCTTAGCATCTTACATTGAGGTTTGTTCTCATGAAAAATATCCTCAGAGAGGATTAAACGCTTTTAATTTCCATCGAGGCAGGGCAAAAAAAAATCTAGAGAAAAGTTTGGTTCTTATAAAGAATATTAATGTGTTTAACGCATTATTGAAAGGTTTTGCAAGTAAAGGCGTTTTTCCTAAAATCAGGGAAATACTGAAAATAATGGAAGAAGATGAGGTAGAATTGAATTTGCAGAGTTATGTAGCAATTTTCGAATGTCTTGGTCGGATCAGCAACGATAACTGCTATTTAAAAGACATAAAAAATTTTACCCAAAGTGCCCTAGCGAAAGGGATAACTTTTGACAAAATGATGAACGAAGGGATATTTTTGAATGATGAAAGAGAAATAGTTCTAAGAGCCATGAGGAGTTACGACCAAAATTACGTTCCGCAATATAGAACACTGAATGTTTCTTATAAAAACCATTTACTTAACCATTTGAACTGTGATATACAATACAATCCAGAGGATGTAAAATACAAGAATGATGGCCCCTTTAAACCTGAAGATATGGAAACATCCATCCACAAGCAAATTGCGATGGAGAGAGGTGGTTACGTTACAGTAAGTACTTTTTGTTTTTATGTTAGTAGTAATTTTGTATATATTTTTTGTGTATTTTTATTCATTAAGGGGGAAACCAAGTTAGGAGGCTGATTTACAGGCGTATCTCATGAATTTTTTTGAGTGAGGCAGATTGATTAGAATTTGACATTATTTTAGCAATATTTTGAATTACTTTTAAACATTTTTTCAAGTAATTTTTGCTGAAATTGCCAAAGTTATGGACTGTTGTCCACTGAAGGTCGTTGTCCGAGTTGATTGTTCAAGGGAAATATGGAGGTTGCAATTTCAATCTGAAAGAAAAAAAGTTTTTCTGCATTATGAACATGTTTTCGAAGAATATGAATCTTGTGGGTAAAAATTATGATAATTGAAGTTTTGATATGTGGATTTTCACCTTTTTTTTTTCACTTATTTTGAATAAAAAACACCTTTAAAATTATGTATCATCTCGATTGTTAGTTCATAACGTTTTGAGCTACATTTCCCGTGAATCAAAAAACGTCGTTTTGAGAAAAACGTGATTTCCGAAAACTAGAAATTTCAGATAGTTATCAATTATATAGAGTCCTTCTTTGCCATAGGCATCATTCTGAGCTTGCATCTGTTCTTTTCTTTGTTAATAAGTGACTAGATTACCTGAACAAGTGCTCCGCCCTACCTGCTAGGTACCCCGATGGGCTTTCGGTTTTAGGATCATAAAATTGAAACAAATGGGAATTTCGTTTTGAAATTTTGGCAGCGTATTCGTAATTAGAATACTAACAATTTATGAAATAAAAAAAAAAATCCGATTTTTAGAGCCTCCTAATGTGGTTTCCCCCCTAAGAATTGGATAAAAAGAAAATTTTAATTTTAAATTAAATTAAAAATTTCTAAATTACCTCCAATTTTGCACTAATATTAGTTTTCAAATATTGTTCTTTTAATTTTTAACAAAGTAAAATTATATTATTTTGTCCTATACCAAAAATCAGCCAGTATGTGTAGATTCCGCTTATTTGATCTTGTCTGAATGCGAGTAAAAATTAATCAGTCACAATAATTTTCGAAATAGTCATGCTATTTTAAATATTTAATTGGGATACTAATAAAAAAATTTCTTGACTTTTTCAAATATACCTAGAGAACCTGGAGACATCAGGGAATTCTTTGGTAAATATTTGGTATATTGGTTGAAACACAAAAGGGAAAGTTTCTGATGTTTCTCAAATTTCGTACCAGCTAAGAGGCGTATTGCACTTTAATAACAACTTTTTTAAATATCGCTTTTGTAAATATTGGAAAATATGGAGCATTTAAGGGGAATTTCGAGAAATTGGAGAATATACAGCATTTTCTATAAGAGAATAATGAGAATTTTCCTTATTCCCAAAAATATTTCTCTCATCTCTTGATTTTATAACAATTATATCTTGTATTCTCGTTTATACTTAATGGAATTTCTCCAAAAATAAATTTTTGAATATTGTACAAAACTACACCCTGTGTCTCTTTCCACATTTTACCTATATCTTAAAAATAGGAAAACAAACATTTTCCGATTGCATACAATTATGAAATTGTTAAAAAAAACCTTACATTATCAAGAATTTATTTCAAGTGTTAAAAAATTCTAGGTTAAAAGTATCGAGTGTCGAGATACGCCTTCAGAAGAAGTTCTGAGGTATCGCCAGGTACTGGATAACCATTACGAAATGTGGGCCGAAGCGGCACAGTCCGCTTTCAATAGGGATCTCGCAACTTTAACGGCCCACAGAAGCGCCCTAAACTTCGAACCTTACATGAGATGCATTCCCTTAAAAGATTATATCGACATTATCATCGACGAAGCGAAGAAAATTGCACAGGGCTCAGAGACTTACAGCCCGACAGTCAATATGCTCCACAGAGATATGGGGAGCAAGGTGTATGCGAGGTACAAAATATTGCGGAAGCAGAAAACAGACGTGTTGAGTAAAATCACTAAAATACATAGTCAGTACTGTAGGGATTACGCTGCGAGTCACTCTAATTTGGACGTTTTACCTACGCAAGAGGTGTATATGAATCCTCGCCAAAAGTGGCAGTGGATAGAGCACAGCCTTTACCAGGAAGGCCCCACGTTGTGGATGGGCCATCAGGAATGGGTGCCGACCATCCTACAATTCATCGGGAAGTTCTTATATCACATCGTGATGCACGATTTGAAAATAGATGTTAATTCTTTGAGAAACAACGACGAGCATAAGAATTACTTACCTGCATTTTATACGATATTCAGAACGCAGGGTAGGATTACCAAAGAAGAAGTCAAACCCCACCCCGTTCTCTCAAAATTGTATCGAGCCTCTCTCCCAGAAACGTTACATTTTCCCACATACGAGCTACCGATGATCTGTCCGCCTGTTCCGTGGACCTCGACACACGTGGGGGGTTACCTGGTTTCGCCCTGTGAAGTTATTCGACTGCCTACTCAAGCAATGTCGCAGAAACAAAGGTTGGGTGAGGTGGGGCGACGGCAACTCTATCCTAGTTTGGACTCTTTGAACCAGTTGGCCGCGGTACCTTGGAAGGTTAACCAGAGAGTGCTGGACGTAATTTTACAGGTAAGTAAATAAAATGTATTCATTAAATTTTGTTTTTTTTTTTTTAAATTTATTTTAATTTAAAACAATTGCTGTGGTACAATCGCTTTTTAAACAGTTGTCAACTGAAAACATATATGGGACAATCCATGTCAACCGGATCAGTGCTACGACCATAAAGGAGAATTTAAACGGCAAATAAAATTAATTAATTTTAAATTGTAGTAACCAAAAAAATCAACCTAGGGCTCATTTTAAAGCTTAGGGCGTCTACTTTCAAACACCGAGTGCGCCTTAGCAAAATCCAATATGGCGGCTCCAATATGGCGTCTGAAAGCTCTCAATTTTTGTAAGAAAAATTGAAAAACGCAAATAAAAAAAATCTGAAGTGCTATATATGCTTTCCAATGTATTGTATGTAACACGAATCCGGTATTAGAATCACATCGCATTTTTTTTTCTAATTTCAAAAAAAAATTGGTAGAAACCAGTAAAAATGTGCGAAAATGTACGAGAAAGAAAAAGAAATCTGCATTTTTCATATTTTTCTCTTCCTCAATGAGGAAATGTACCCGCTAAATCCAAATCCACTTCCAGAGTAAAGCTGGCATGTCTCAACTGTTTCTAACCTCAAAAATATTGATCACAAATCGATTTTTTAAATTTTAAAATCAGATAGCGAGTACTAAAAATTAAAATTAAATGTTGAAATTTGATGAAAATTTTTTTTCCAATGTATAGAACAATATTTCGTCAATGGAACAAAAAAAAGAACGTGTCAAACGAAGCACCCTAATATACAGGGTGTCCCACCGGGAACTGCGTCCATTGATATCTAGGAAAGTACTGCTCCGAAAAATTAAAAAATTTGACAACATGGCAATGTCCCTGGGGTAAACACAACTAAAATATTTAGAACTCTCTAGCACTTCCGGTTATACCTGAAGTCGACACTAACTTTGTTATTTTAAACGGGACACTATATATTATTGCATTTTCAGATTCTACTTGAAATTTTAAGGTCACTTTATTGAATATTCCCTATATCTAGGAGTTATAGATTTTGAGATATTAATTTTTAAAGAAAAAATTTGACAGAAGCAAGAGTCCGCGGAGATGCTGAAATAACAAACAAAGTAAAATAATCCTCATTAGTATAATTTAAACGATCCCCAGGCATTTTTATTTGAATTTTTGGCAAAAACTATTCAGACACAACAATAATTTGACAACTAACTTGACAAATGTCATATTATTTCAATTGTTTTTGGCGTGTTGTTGGTCATGGCCAATTTGACAACAGCTCTGATATGAGAAAAACTGTCCAGAAAATAGAAAACTGCAAATATCTCTAAAAGTGGTAACGTCAGACCTAACAATGATTAATTATATGGCTTGGAAGGAAATTTCAATCTGCATACGACAGATTAAAAAAATATATAGGGTGTTCCATATAAGTTAACAATGTTATAGCTGTTTCAAGTTATCAAAATGTAACAGCAAAAATGAAACATCTAGTATTAAATGTTTTCATTTGTTAGTATACCATAATGTAGTGTTACCTACGCCCTTTACAGGTACCAAAAATCCGCTTGATATCACGCTCCTGAAAAGAGTTACTAGCACATCCGCAGGCTCTTGCATCTGTCAAATTAATATCTCAAAATATATCACCCCTAGGTATAGGGAATATTTAATAAAGTGACCTTCAAATTTCACGTAGAATCCAGAAATGCAATAATATATAGGGTGTTCCATTTAAAATAACGAAGTTGGTGTCGACTTCCCGTATAACTGGAACTGCTGGAGAGTTCTAAATGTTTTAGCTGTGTTCGCCCTAGGGACATTGCCATGTTGTCAAATTTTCAAATTTTTCGGAGCACTACTTTCCTAGATATCGATCGATGCACTTCCCGGTGGGACACCTTGTATAGCTGGACCAAAACAGGATCAAGCCAACGAGAAGTGCACTTCTTGCAACGGATCAGAGGTTAATTATATTTCGCTTGTAAATTATTTAATGCTTTCTGAAAATAATCCAAATAAATTGCTCTCTGTTCTGCTGAAATTTATGGTTCTGCTAATAAATTAATTTATGAGAGAGCACAGTTTGAAACATAATAAAACAGTAAACAAAAACAGTGGAATATCTTTCACACTGACAGCACATGCAGATTTATTAGACTTAAGTTACAACAGATTTAAAAATAATACAAATAACGTCTGTCTTACCAAAAACGTGGATAACGATAACTACGCCTTCTTATTTCTAGGTATTCAACAGCGGTGGTTCATCTAGTTTGGATGTTCCAGAACCACCATCCTCTCTCTCTCCTCCTGAAGCAGTATTCGCTAATATGGACAAAGTTGAAAAATATCAGTTATTCAGGCAGAAATTGCAATATAAACGGAAGAAGGCGGAGATGTACTCCCTCTGGTGCGACTGCTTGTATAGGCTGTCGTTAGCGAATCACGTAAGAGAAAAGCGAAATGTTTTTAATTCGTACAATTCTAAATTATTTTCAATTACATTTTCTCATTTCAGTTTCGGAACGATGTTTTTTGGCTGCCCCATAACATGGACTTCCGAGGCAGGGTCTATCCTGTACCGCCTCATTTGAACCACTTGGGTTCGGATCTAGCCAGGTCTATGTTAATCTTCGCGGAACCTCGACCCTTGGGCCCTGAAGGCCTCGATTGGCTGAAGATCCATCTGATTAACTTGACCGGTCTGAAGAAACGTGACCCTATCAGCGAACGGTAATAATAAGATAAATTTACCTCAACATTTCTTTTAATTAATTGCATTTTTTAGGTTGAGATTTGCCAACGACAAAATCGACTTAATCTTAGACTCCGCCGACAAGCCTCTGACTGGAAAGAAGTGGTGGATGGAATCGGACGAACCGTGGCAGACTCTATCCTGCTGCATGGAAATCGCGGATGTCGTCAGATCTCCAAATCCCGAAGAGTTCCTCTGTCATTTGCCCATCCACCAGGACGGGAGCTGCAACGGTCTCCAGCATTACGCCGCTTTAGGAAGGGACAGCGCTGGTGCCCACAGCGTTAATCTGACCCCGTCCGAGGTGCCGCAGGACGTGTATAGTACGGTCGTGGCCTTGGTGGAAAAGAGGAGGGAGAAAGATGCTGAAAATGGTGTCGAGGTATGTTTTTTTTGGGTTTTATTTTTGTTTCCTCTTTATTATTTTTTTATACTATGGTAAAATATATAGCATATAAAATAAACACCAGACCTCCACATTTAAACATATTAAAATTTGAAATTCTTCTAAAAATTCTGAAAAGATTCAGGTGTATTTTCTAATAAAAAAGAGATATGATTCACATTTACATATTCTCGATTTAAATTGTGTTTTTCCAGTAAAAAATAAAGATGTGGAAAATATCAATGAAAAAATAAATATTTTAGTGACATTCTTATTTTTTTTACTCATTTTGAATGAAAAAGAGTAAATATAAATTGTTTTTCTCCTTCACTTTACCCCCACCCCCCAGAATTTGCCATCCCAAATACCTTGAACAATTTATCCTGTGCACCTCGATAAATATTTGTCACCATGTCTCATGAATGTGATAGAAAAAGTTTCCGGGATAAGTGCACATTATTTTTATACAAGTCCATTTACTTTCCTTTGGCATTATTCAGAGCTAATGGCGAGGAAATAGAAAGCGATGTAATTATGTTTTTTTTAAATTATTTTTGTTTATTTTGAAATTTTTTTTTTGATTTTGTAATTTTTGTTTCAATAAACAAATGATTGGAAGGCTCGAGTTTAGGTAGGAATGCCAGTCAGAATCGAAAAAAATTTCACAAAAACCGAGTGCTTTATTCATCATTTTTTCTTATAGGGTCTTGATCAGTATTGCTTGATGTAACTACTATTAATTAACATATTTTAGTTTTATAAACGTGTCACATAGCAGTAAATGAACTAAAAAAAATCGATGTGTTTTCTAATGAAATTTGAATTTTGATAATATAATGTATTAATAAACAAAACTTGACTTGGTCGATATCCAATTTTCCTGCACAGCTATTTTTAATAAAAAATTAAAGTTCAATTCAATTCAAAATTCAATTCAATTCAAAATTAAAGTTCAATTCTAAATTACCTGTTTATACCTGTCTACCTGGTTTTATGCAAGGAACAAAAATGTCGACCAAACTTTGGCATATTGTACTCTAAAAACTCTAAAACTCAATAACTACATTCAGGAAAAAAAATTACGTCTTTAAATTTTTATTAAAAATAGAGCTGTGCAGGAAAATTGGATGTAAACCAAATCAAGTTTTGTTTATTAATACATTATATTATCAAAATTCAAATTTCATTAGAAAACTCGATGGGTGAAGGTCGATCTAAGTCAGGATATTGTACTATTGTTTCTTTAAGCAATTTGGGTCATTTGATGTTACAGAAACGTATTCAACAGATAAAATATGCGCAATAAAAAGACCTACAAAATGCCTCCCGAGAGATTAAAATCAGATAAATTGTTTAAAAGTTATTGCAAAAAAAACATAAAAAAACGTGGAGAAACAGCATCATTTTAATTATCCATAACTTGGTTGTTATTTTATATACAGGGTGTAACTAAATAAGTGTAAAACATTTAAGGGGGTGATTCCTCATCAAAAAAAAGATAGGATCTTTCATATAAAGAAACTTCATTGGAGCATCCCTTGTTAAGATACAGCCCCTTAAAGGGGGTACATAAAATTTGTTTAACAATTTTTTTCACAAGCACTAAACAAGTTACAATATTGAAATTAACCTGACATTTTCTACTACCAAAAAGACACTTAGCCAGTAATTTATTTGGTTTACCCCATGGTTGTAAGGGGTGGAAAACGCAACCCCTAAAATTTATTTCCAACGTAATTTTTTGTCTTATTATTTTTTTACCATTTAAAAATTTATTTCCGATAGCCTGTTTCATTCTAAAAAAAAATGTCTCTTGAATTTTTTGCCCAAATTAAACCAGTTCGCAGCAAAAAATTATTTTACGAACAACTACAGAGATACATCGTCATAAATGCGGACTGGATTTACTGTTATTTTGTAGTTACTACCTGCATTAAATGATTAAAGGGGAATAATCAAAACTAATTTAATAATAACAAAACATACAACATGTAGAAATCATAGTAAATGTTCAATATGTCTACCTTCAGACATTACGCATGCGTCTAGACGTCGGCGCATTGAGCCACGTATTCGCTCAAATATTCCTGGAGTCTCTCTAATTACCCTGCACGCATCGATAATGCGGTTTCTTAAGTCCTCTACATCGCGAACAGGAGTACGATAAACCAAATGCTGCAAATGGCCCCAAGTAGACAAATCCAGAGGATTGAGATCCGGGGATCGAGCGGGCCAATTCTGTGGTCCTCCTCGACCTATCCACTGATTTGCATATGTTTCAGTTAAATGCTGACGTGCTACTTGACTAAAATGGGCGGGAGCCCCATCATGCATAAAAACCATATCCCTTCTGACGCCCAAAGGAACTTCCTCCAGCAGTACGGGGGGATGCACTTTTCTTAAAAATTGAACGTATGCCTCACCATTTAATCGAGGAGGTAGAAAATGAGGCCCAATTAAATAATCCCCAATAACTCCGACCCACACCTTAAGAGAAAACTGTTCTTGATGGTTAGTTTCGACAATAGCGTGATGGTTTTCATCAGCCCATATGTGGTAATTATGAAAATTAATAATCTTGTCCCGAGAAAAACTACATTCGTCTGTGAATTCGATCGTCTTCAGAAAGTCACGATTTCTTCTAATCATTTCCAGCATCCAATTGCAAAATTCAAGACGGTTCGGAAAGTCTCGCGGTAACAGTGCCTGTACTCGTTGCAGATGGTAAGGGTATAAGAGATGTTCCTTTAAAATTCGAAATACCGTCATATGATCAACATTTAGCTGGAAAGCAATCTTTCTAGTACTGGTAGTAGGTTGTTCTTCTATCAAATTAAGTACTGCTGCCTCAAGCTGTGGTGTTCTTACTTCTCGATGGCGACCACAATCCTGCGTTCTTTTGTTGAATGAACCATATTCACGTAATCGTTGATGAAGTCAGACAAATATTCTATGTGAAGGATGCTGCCGTTGAGGATACATTTCAGCATATCTTGTAGAAGCTTCTAACCCATTCCCCTGCGACAGACCGTAAACGTAATGCATATCAGCCATTTCCTCATTTGTGTATGCCATTTTAATAACAAGTGAATTATTAAAGTAACAAATTAAGAACAGAACAATACACAATTAGTATTACTTCAATTTCAAAAATTTACAAACTGACAGCTTGATTCCAATTTAATTGTCAGTATCGCTAATGGCGGCCTACTAGATAAATTAGTTTCGTATTTTCGTTTTATGGCGATATGTATCTTGTTCGTAAAATAATTTTTTGCTGCGAACTGGTTTAATTTGGGCAAAAAATTCAAGAGACATTTTTTTTTAGAATGAAACAGGCTATCGGAAATAAATTTTTAAATGGTAAAAAAATAATAAGACAAAAAATTACGTTGGAAATAAATTTTAGGGGTTGCGTTTTCCACCCCTTACAACCATGGGGTAAACCAAATAAATTACTGGCTAAGTGTCTTTTTGGTAGTAGAAAATGTCAGGTTAATTTCAATATTGTAACTTGTTTAGTGCTTTTGAAAAAAATTGTTAAACAAATTTTATGTACCCCCTTTAAGGGGCTGTATCTTAACAAGGGATGTTCCAATGAAGTTTCTTTATATGAAAGATCCTATCTTTTTTTCGATGAGGAATCACCCCCTTAAATGTTTTACACTTATTTAGTTACAACCTGTATATGCCTAAAATTTGTGAGTTTTATTGTTGTTCAAAATTGTGCGAAAGATGGGCACTGTGGACGCAATAGTTTTAACCTTCTGTCTCTCCGAAAGTTATTAACAAAAAGAGTGTTTAGACAATCGATTTTTAAAGCTTAAAACCTAACTTAGCTTTGTATTTAAATGGAATTTTAATTTATTGCCAGGGTCCCTTTTGATTTTTACAGAGGCGCTGTGATTTTTTGAAAAAAAAAGTAAGTCGGTTCCAAAAGGGCGTAGAAACTTTTTTTTTTTAAATGTGTGTTTTTAATTGGCTATACAATCACACTTTTTTTAATTAAATATTTGAAGATAATCTAAATGTTTATTAAAAAAAAGTAGTAAAATATAAAATTTTTAATGTAAAAATCAAAAGGGTCCCTTGCAATAAATTAAAATTCCATTTAAATACAAAGCTAAGTTAGGTTTTAAGTTTTAAAAATCGACTATCTAAACCCTTTTTTGTTAATAACTGTCGAAAAGACAGAAGGTTAAAGTTATGCAAATTTGCCCTTGACAGGATAAATAAATAGAATTTTGCAAAAACTATTGGGCCCACGTTGCCCATCTTTTGCGCAGTTTTGAAGAATAATAAAACACGACTTTTAAATATATTTATTTTTCCAACAAATAATAACCAAGTTATGGATAATTAAAAAATGCTAAGCAGCATATCGATATTGTAGTTGCACTGTGAAAGAGTAATAATTCAGTCTGTGAGTTTTGGTGTTTGTTCTATGGGAAATAATCTACATTAAATTTTGAAATCTGTCCCATCAGTTAATAAAGTGCAGTGCTTTTTAATAACAAATTAAAAAAGATCTCTAAGAAACGTCTATAGAGGTATTTATGCATTTGTGCACTCATAGTAATGGATATAAATGATAAGAAATTCTATTTAAACGCCAAAAAGAAGGTGACAAAAACCAAGTCTTTATCTTAAAAGTAAAAAGTAGCAATATAGAAACAAATTTTGTTGTTCTAAAAAAGGAAAGTGAATTTAGCATATGGAACGTGGAATGGAATGTACAGTGTGTAAGAGAACTTTGCAACCTTCTAAAGATGTAAAAAATCCTTGTACGCCTTGTGACTCGTGCAGAAATTTAATATGTAATGATTGCTCTGAGCTTTCGAGCTCGGAAATTAAATGTTTAGCTTTACGAACTCGTTTATTGAAATTTATATGCAAAAAATGCAGAAATTATGAACTAACTGATTTTTTACGGAATACAATAAAGGATAAAGATCAAATAATAGATGACAAAAATGTAATTATTAATATGCTACAAGAAAAAGTCAAACAAGTTGAAGATAAACTTGCAAGTTTTACACAATTATCCTATGCATCTGTAACTAGTGCACCAGAGGTTAATAAAAGGAAAGAAAATCAGCCAAAGATCATTATTAAGCCAAAGGGGGAACAAGATAGTAGAAAAACTAAGTCGGATCTGGACAAATATATTAATCCTTCAGAATTAAAGATAGGTATAAAGCATTTTAAATCTACCAAATCAGGTTCTATCCATATCACTTGTCAAACAAAAGAAGAGACTGATATTTTAGAAAAAGCAGTAAAGGATAAACTAAAGGACAACTATTTAATTGAGCAAACAAAAATGAGAAAGCCAAGAATAAAAATTGTTAATTTTGATGGTAACATGACTGCAGATGAAATTGATAATAGTATTGCAGAACAAAATAATTTGGCAGGGGTCATTAAAACAACATATATTAGAAAAAAGAGTAGGGACCATCATACTATCTATTGTGAGTGTTCGGCTACTGCATTTAAACAAGTAATGGTTGACAGAAAATTATGTATTGGATGGGAAAGGTATTCAGTATATGAGGATTTGGATGTGCCAAGATGTTTTAACTGCCAGGGTTTTTATCATAAAAAGCAAGATTGTCGTAACAAATTAACATGCCCAAGGTGTAGTGAAGAGCATGAGGAAAATATTTGCCCTAAAGTGAAATTGTGTTGTAAAAACTGTGTTATTTCTAATGAAAAATTTAATACAAATTATAATGTTGAACATGCTGCCTCAGACCTGTCATGTGCCAGTTTAGAATTCCAAAAGTTGCTGTTACAAAGTAAAACGGACTATTCATTGGTATAATGGTACTACTCAATGAAGATTTAATTTTGCAAGAACTCGAATGCGTCGGAGGAAATCGCATGGGAAGATATGTTGGTATTAATGACAGTAAGGTACTGTTTGAAACAAATGCTGTTCTTAGGGTCTTTCATCTTAATATTCGTAGTATAAGAAAGAATTTTGATGAATTACTTGCTACTTTTGTAACCTATGAATTAGATTATAATTATGATGTTATTATCTTAAGTGAATGCTTTCAAGTGGATTCTATAGATCAGTTTAATATTCCTGGTTATAATACCTTTTACAATCATGCGGATTTTAATAAAAATGATGGAGTTATAATTATTGCAAAAAAGGGTCTTGAAACTTCAATCCATAATAAAAAGTTGGAAATAAGTGGGGTAACACTAAGCATTATGGAAATCAATATTGGTAATGTCCTTTTTAGGATAATTGCATTATATAGACCCAATCCAACTAATATAGGTGCTTTTATCAATGATATTGATGACTATTTAGACTTAAATAAAGCTGATGCCTGTTTTCAACTCATAGTGGGCGACGTTAATATCAATATATTAGAAGAAAATGAGTATGTGAACAATTATGTGTCAATGTTAGCTAAACATGGATTTGTGCCCTACATTCAATCTCCAACTAGAACTACAAAAGAATCTACTTCATGCCTTGATCATATTTTTGTAAAACGTAATCAGGGTGTCAATAGTTTTAAAATTGACTCCTATATACTTAAATGCTCCGTTACTGATCATTATGCTGTCATGATACATTTTAGTAAAGATTCTATAAGTTATGACACAATCAAGCAAATTAATACTAAAAAATTTTCTAAAATTAATATTAATAAATTCATTAATTTGATTAAAAATGAAAGTTGGAATCATGTTTTGCAATTAAATAATTCTCAACTTGCTACTAATATATTTACTGAAACATATTTAAAAATTGTATCTCAGAGTACTTATACCAAACCCACTAATAATAAAGTACCTAAGAAAATCAAACCTTGGATTACAATTGGTCTAACCAAGTCAATAATAATTAGAGATAAAATGAAAAAAAGACTGACAAATAGTTATTCTCAGGATTTGGAGATAGAGTACAAAACATATAGAAATAATTTAAATAAGCTGTTAAAAAAATGTAAGCATGAGTATTATAAAGATATTATTTTACTTAATCAAAACAATATGAAAAAAATTTATCAAGTAATATCTGAAGCTACCAATGAAAAATCTAAAAATAATGCATGTTCTTTTAATATTGCCAATGAAGATGGTCAACCATATGATAATAATAAAGATATGTCGAACTACTGTAATGAATATTTTGCTAACATTGGTATTAAAATGGCCAACAATATAAAGATACCTGATGACTTTTCTTCTCAAATACCGCCAATTAATAATTCATTGTTTTTAACGCCTGTTACAGAAAATGAAATAATATTACAAATAAATTCATTGAAAAAAAATTCGGCTCCAGGTATGGATGCAATTACTGCCGAACTTATAAAGTCATCTCACAAGCAGATAGTTCAGCCTATTACACATATAATAAATTTAATTTTTGCCACTGGTATTGTGCCTTCTCAATTTAAAAGCTCTATCATTACTCCTGTATTTAAAAATGGTGATAATACGAGAATATCCAATTACAGGCCTATTAGCTTGATAAATAATTTTGGAAAAATTTTTGAGAAATGTCTTAAAACTAGGCTTGTAAGTTTTCTTAAAAATAACAATATATTGAGTCCACATCAGTTTGGTTTTTTGGAAGGTAAAAGTACAGAGGATGCAATGTATGAAGTAGTAAAGGAAATCACAGACAATCTGGATTCAAGTAGAAAGTGTGCTGCAGTGTTTTTAGACTTGGCTAAGGCATTTGATACAGTGCCTCATGACAAGCTTCTTAATGTGCTGCATAGTTATGGAATTCGAGGAAATGTGCTAAAGCTTTTTACTAGTTATTTAACTGATCGAATGCAATATGTTAGAGTTAATAATTGTCTTAGTGATCCCCAGGAAGTTAAAATAGGTGTGCCACAGGGCACTGTTTTAGGGCCCATACTCTTTATAATATATTTAAATTCTTTGTTATTCTTAAATACTAGTGGTAAAATACTGTCATATGCAGACGATACTGTAGTCATTTTCTCTGGTGATACCTGGGATACAGTTAAAGAACAAATGGAACGTGGCATAACTGCTATTAAAATATGGTTAGATGGACATCAGTTATCTCTAAATGCTGGTAAAACCAAATACATAGCATTTTCAATTACCAGCAAAAATAGGCCCAACTATGATAGGATTAATATTGAACGTTTCAGCATGGTAATAAATGAAGTATATTCCATAAAATATTTAGGTATCGTAATTGACAAAAACATTAAATGGGAGCAGCATATAAATAAATTAACAGCGAACACTCGAAAACTGATTTTTAGATTCTACAAATTAAGAGATATCTTAAGCAAAAAAATATTACTTATAGTTTATAAATCTCTAGTGGAATCCATTTATCGCTATGGTATTCTGGTATGGGGTGGTTTATATAATACGACTTTAAAACAGCTATCTGTTGTACAAAATTATATATTAAAAATCATTTTAAAAAAAAATAAATTATACCCGACCAGTTTACTTTTCAAGGATGGAATATGTAATATTAGATCTTTGTATTTCCATTCATTGTGTACAAATGTATTTAAAAATGAAAAACAGTTGATAATGAATGTTAGGGTAACTCGGAGTATGTCAAACGAAGCTTTACTAACACCTTTTAATAATAAAACCATAGGTTTGAGATTTGCGACACATTTAGCTCCCAAGACATACAACTTGTTACCCTTAGAAATAAGAAGAACCAAAAGCTTTAAAAAATACTCGCACCTCTGCAAAACATACATAAGTAACAACTATTTGTCTTTTTTGTCATTGATTGAATAATATCCTAGCTAATACGAAAGATGATAATAATAATTTGAATTTTACTCATATTATTGTATATACAGCATATACTTAATGGATTTTGTGCTTGCACAATACAAGTGTTAATTCACTTAGGTGCAATGTGTATAACGTTTTTGTTTCTTTTTTTTCTTCTTAGTGTTAATTTTAATATACTGTAATTGTACTTATTTAATATACTGTAATATACTTGTAATTGTTTAATTCTACGTTTTTTGATGTTTTTTTTTGCAATAACTTTTAAACAGTTTATCCGATTTTGTTGAACATGTTTCTCTAAAATCGATAGTTTTTCCAATATATTGGAAAAACTGATTTTCGATCCAAATTGTTTAAAAAAAAAACAATGTTGCTAATGAAAAAAATTTACTCACGAGATGAGACACCTTTTCTACTGCCTTCCTCTGCACATTTCAACAAGAAAATAGCGGACGTCAACTCATCGATGTTCAAATATTATAGCGACATGACTATTACTATGAAATGAAAGTAAAAGTCGTGTTTACTTTTAGATTGCCAAAATTCTCGAAGGTTTTGTTAAGAGGAAAGTCATCAAACAAACCATAATGACGACAGTGTATGGGGTGACTAGGTTCGGGGCTCGATTACAGATCGCTAAGCAACTGAAGGATATAGACGATTTTCCCAAGGAGTCTGTGTGGGCAGCATCATCCTACTTAACAGGTACGAAATTTGATTTGTCGTTTAAATAGGACATGGGACAATTTTGACACTTTTGGGCGAGTTCCTCGAATTTCTCAAAACGGCCTGAAAAAAAGTAGTTCAGATGTCACGGATTCAATATAAAAAACTGAGAACAAAACAAAAATAACGTATTTAATAAATAGCACAAAACAAGACTAAAAATGAAAAGTGTTATCTAAGCAAGTATTGATTCCGATTTGTGATTTTTGTTTTTCAATTTTTTTCAAAAACCAAACTCGAAACATATCAATTACTTAACTTTTTGTCTACATCTTGAGGAAATACGGGAATCTCCTGAAAAGTCTCTCAATTGGTTCATCCCGTACATACTTCAAGACTGATTTGTTTCATTTGTGGATACATATTTTGAATTTATCTCGAAGCTCTTCCGTTTAGTGAGTTGTTTTGTTTAAATTAATTTGCAGGACGCACCTTTGAATCTCTGAGGTCCATGTTCACCTCAACCAGGGAAATCCAGGACTGGTTCACGGAATGCGCAAGACTGATATCCGCCGTGGGATGCCAACACGTGGAATGGGTCACACCGCTTGGCCTGCCTATCGTACAGCCTTACTTTAAGTATAAGAAATTGAGCATGCCGAACATGTACAGCTCTTATCCGATTGATAAATACGAGTAAGTGAACATTTTGAGTATCTGCATACATCGATCCAGAAAACCTGCCTCCACATCTGCAGATGTCTGAATAAATGACACCCATAATATTCCTGTTTTTTTTTTTGGTAAATTCTGTACATATTTACATGTTTGACACCTTTCGTAGGAGGCCGAACGTGATGAAGCAGAAAAACGCCTTCCCTCCGAATTTCATCCACTCCTTGGATTCCAGCCATATGATGCTCACGTCCCTGCACTGCGAGAGAGCAGGCATTACTTTTGTGTCCGTTCACGACTGCTATTGGACGCATCCGTCTACTGTACATATTATGAACAAGGTAACTACGTTTTTATTTATTAATTTTTTTACAGCATGGTCTGTTTTGAAATGGCTTGGAATAGTAACTCAATCATTTTTAAATCGGCCATAGGCATATTAGCTTTCTTAATTTTTATCGAGATATGATACACTTTACTGCATTGTGAATATATTCAAAAATCGAGAAATAAGTTAAATTACTGAACAACATGCGATTTCTCAGACGAAAAACGATATCGGGGAAAACGTTTTAAAGAGTAAGTATAGTACTTTAAGACCCCATTAATGGTTTCTGCAAAAAAATGGATCTTTCCATGTAACATAACCTCAAAGACGTCAAAAAATCGCGAGTTTGGCACTTTTAAGTTAGGTTATCTCCAAAACCAGGGTCAATTGAGAAATTTGGCTAACAAGGAGAAGGTAAGGTAGTCGGATTTTTGTAATTTTTGATATTTATGGTACTTGTAGTTTGGACTTTGAATAAGAATTTTCCGAAGTAGTTTAACGCAACGTTCATAAATTACCGAGATAATCGATTTTGAAGTTATACCTGACAGTTAAATCCACTAGATATGACACATTCTTCAACTGGGAGCGTGGCCTAATTGGTAGCGATAGGGACTGACAGTCATGAGATCGCTGGTTCGAGTCCGTCGCGTGATATTTTTTTTTTTCAAAACGCACCATATGGTTTTTTATTATTTTTTTCATCTCGAAAATTATGAACAAACGAAATATTATAATAAACACTTATGTATATGTAGGAATATTCTTCAAATATTTCATTAAAATGCACAATTGGTTGTTAAACAATATTTATTATGAATTAACAATAAGATTTCATTAAAAAGAAAAACAAACGAGGTCAGGTAGGATATTCTTTTATTTTATATTTATGTTAGTATTTGACATTTTACGCAGTGTGGCACGAGCCAGAATGGTAGCTATAAAAAAAAATGGGATGCAGAAATTTTTTAAGCATCTAGCTTCCTTTTCTTTTTCTGGTCTCGAAAATTATGAACAAACGAAATATTATGAGAACTGTATGTAGGAATATTCTTCAAGTGTTTAATTAACATTTTAACCAAGTTTTTGTGGGTCGTCCATCGTGTTTAAAAAAACCGCTTACAAAACACACCTGTTCGGGCATAAAAAGTTTCGGTAAATTCCACAAAGGGTAAAGAAGCATTGAAACTGTGTGATGAAAGAACAATCTTTCAAAATGTTAACGAAATTTGCTTCGACGTTGATATTTTGAAAACAAAATGAGCCTGTAAAAACATAACATTTACATGACATACTAGATGCTTAAAAAATTTCCGCTTCCCATGTTTCTATGATAACTATCATTCTGGCTTATGCCACACTGCATAAAATGACAAATACTAAAAATAAAATAAAAAACTTACGTGACCTCATTTGTTTTTTTTTTTGAGAAACTTTATTGTTAATTCATAATAAATATTGTTTATCAACCAATTGTGCATTTTAATGAAATATTTGAAGAATATTCCTACATATACATAAGTATTTATTATAATATTCCGTTTGTTCATAATTTTTGAGATGAAAAAAATAATAAAAAACCATATGATGCGTTTTGAAAAAAAAAAAAAATGTCACGCGACGGACTCGAACCAGCGATCTCGTGACTGTCAGTCCCGAATGCTACCAATTAGGCCACGCTCCCTGTTGAAAAATGTGTCACATCTAGTGAATTTAGCTGTCAGGTAAAACTTCAAAATCGATTATCTCTGTAATTTATGAACGTTGCGTCGAACTACTTCGGAAAATTCTTATTCAAGGTCCAAACTACACGTACCATAAATATCAAAAATTAAAAAATCCGACTAACTTACCTTCTCCTTGTAAAATCCTGTCGGCCTGTGTAATCGTTTCTATCTCTCGGTTATGTATAAGTGCGGGTACATTTGATACGTTACTGTAATGAAAATGGCGAATGGAAAGGGCCTTATGATTTGTGTATTATTTGATTTCTTTTTATTTCAGATTTGCAGGGAACAATTCGTGGCCCTGCATTCTGAGCCCATCCTGGAGGACTTGTCTGAATTTCTGTGTGAAAAATTCAGTTATAGCGAAAGGTAAGGAAACATGCATAGATAAAGATATCGATATTTGGAGCCTTCATAAATGATTGCACGGTTGGTACTGTCGGCTAAAAATCCTTCAATCTTAGCGTCACCAACATTAATGATTCATTTATAATGAACAATAACAAACCGTTACGCGTACGCTCGAGATAATGTGACAGTGGAGGCTCGTGACATTGAGGGTAGGTGAAGCATATTCATTGATTGACTAAATAGAAAAAAAAAACTGCAGGCGAAAATTTTCAAATTTTCAAGGTCAAACGGCTTTAAATGTCTGGAAATTCTTAGTTGCATTTGCAATATTACCGAAAAACTTATGTTCGTGAGAAGGATTTTTATTTAGATTTTATAAAAAATAGAAACAATTAAACACGGCATACAGAAAAGTTTTTTTAAATAAACACTTCCATACAACCACTTATATACTCCGAATGCCATTCATTCCGAAACATTCGAATATACACTTTGTCTTTTGATTTCCCCCTTTTTGCCCCCGATTTTCCATTTGGAATATGGCGTTTTCAATAAAATACATACCTACTGGATCATACATACGAAACATTTCTACAATTATTGATTCAAAGCAAATATTAACAAAGAACCGTTAAAGTTAAATAATCGTTAAATGCAGGCGATGGGCGATGACGATGCTGCTTCAATTTCCGCGTCACTCATTCTCCTATGCCCTAGTTTACTCACACGTTGGTTGCCTCGTTGCCAAGACAACCACCGTAAACAACGCTGCAAAGTGAAGCGAAATACAATTTGATTTCAATCCGTGTCACTTGCTTATGCTGTACATGGTACGAGGTTGATGTTCGCGCTCCACGAAAGCAATGTTTTTTTAGAACACGTTCACCGCGCAACTATTCTGTTTATTTCTGCGTATAAAACAAATAAACACTATACATTTTCAATATAGAATTATACCTAAATTATAAAATTATATAAAATTGAAAATAATTTTAAATTGTAGTAATTGCACAACCAAACGGAAATTTTAGGTGAAGCGGTGCATCACTTGCATCACCTGGCGAGCCGCCACTGTAATGAAATCGCTGATTGGTTCGATAAAATCTTTTACACCAATCACCAACTGGTGAAACAGAATGTTGTGGTTTATTGTAATCTTGACTTATCGTTTTAATAATTTTTAATTAATTTTACCGAAATTTAAATGTCAACAAGAAGTAAATAAAATTACTGTTCAAAACAAAATTTCTGGCTTGTAATCACTATGAAGGCTCTGTTTAAATACAAATGACTTCTACAACAAATATGTATTTCATCTTTTTTTTTTGACTTGCAAGTTTTCTGCAAAAAAAAAAGATACAAAATATATAATGAAGTGGATTCAAAAAATGCATGATAAAATTATTTTTCTAGCAATTTATAAATACAAATACATAATTGATCCTATGAGATATAAATAATTCCAATTTACGATTTGTCAATAAACTGAGATATTTCGTTGCTATTAAATCTAGTGTATTACACATACATGTAAACTTAAGTAACTAGCGGCTATTATTGGTTGTTATTGGCACTGCCATTTTAGCAAAATGATAGATGATAGAAATAGAATTGACAATATAAATGTAATGAAAGTTCCTATTTCTAAAATTTCCAATAAAGACATCACATTCTGTCGCATGCTAAATAAAAAAATAATTATACTTCAGTGCCAAAATAGCAGGCAATGACTCGTTTTGAACATGTAGATCCATGCGAAGCGTAATGTGTGGGAATGTTATTCCATAGGCATATCATTTTATAGGGTTCCAAGAATTGTTCAATATAGAACAACAAATGGATGTGTAGTTTTTCGGTATAGACAAGATTACCGCGACCAACTTTGGACTGGGCATAGCCTTAACGTCCTACTCCAGAAAGTATAAAGCATTTATAAGCAATATTTAACAAAGTCATTCGTAACATTGTCATTCTATTCATTGCAGCTTTTGCTAAGCTTTTAAATATGATAATAGATGCTTAAATTTAAGACTCCGTTTAACGACTACTTAAGATGTTCTTTAATTTCAGACGTGCTTGGGGTTTGTGCGGAAATTGCACAAGTAAAGTAATAAAAGTTACTAGAAGTTACTAGATTTCTGCGGCGTTGCTGCCATAAACATGTACATGGTTAATGGTTGTTCGATGCAATACCTTAACACAATCAACTTGACTTTAAAAACATCTTTATTAAGTTACACTGACACGGGGGCGATTGCGAAAAAAGAAATAAGTGTTTGTAACAGTAGTGCCAAGTGCAAATGCCTAGATGAAATGAGCAGCACATTTAAATTTCCATTTCCATTAGGAAAAAGTAAAAATTGTGGTTTGATTTATTTGTCTCTACTGCCAACTATTTTGTACGCTATTTATTAATTTTGTTTTTTTTTATAGGTATGTTTATATCCAATTTTATACAGGGTGTTCCTAAATAAGTGTCGCAACGGAACACTGTATATTCCTCTTGTAAAAAGAAACATTATTTTCCTCTTCCATTTTTCTCTCCGGGCTTTCGTTTTCATGATACACGGTGTTAAAACTCATTTTTTAAAAATTTTTTGCCAATATCTTAGGAACCGTTTGAACTACAGGACTGAGTTTTTGTACATGCATTACCACTATTAATAGCTACTTTTTCGCACCCTTCCCCAATTCACTGAACATGCCAGTGGTGGAGATTTTAAGGTATCGTAAGGGTTTTTCCCCCCTAACTTTTATGCCACTGGAAAAATTGACATTTGACAGCAAATTCTGAAGCGCCAATAAAATTTACACAAAAAGAGTTCTCTTGGTTCATTGCTCTAAAGTCAACCGTGTTTTCAAGAAAAATGACTTTTTATGAACAAAAACAAACATTTTGCTAACGTTTCGAAAATCTTTTGTAATTCAAAAGATAGATAGTAATAATTAACACAAGTTTAACGAAATTCAACAATATTTGCAACAAGTAGCTATTAATAGTGGTAATGTGTGTACAAAAGCTCAGTCCTGTAGTTCAAACGGTTCCTAAGATATTGGCAAAAATCTGAAAAAATGTTTTGACACCATGTATCTCGAAAACGAAAGCCCGGAGAGAAAAATGAAAGAGGAAAAAAATGTTTTTCTTTTCTTGAGAAATATACAGTTTTCCGTTGCGACACTTATTTAGGAACACCCTGTATAGAATTTTGCTTTATACGAATATCCTATTCATTATGCGATTCAATTACGCAATAATATTGTTTAAACTCTCTTGTAATTTTGTACGTAATGAACTGTATGTTTCAGAGATTTCACTGGAGATGGATCTGTGCTTGACCTGACTAAAAAGAAATTAAATAGGGTGTTGCAACAGTTACCAAAAACGGGCAGTTTTGACATTAAACAGGTTTTAGATTCTGTTTACTTCTTTAGTTGATTGCTTTTAATATGTTTTAAAAAATAAAGTTTTTTTAAATGTTATCCTCTTTGCTTAATGCAGACATTAAACCTACCCTCTCTTTTCAGCAGTGAGAGAAAATTGCTATTATATTTTCAAAACTTGTGCAAGGCAAGTTTGTGCAAATATTTCTTTTTATAATCGTGTTTCATGAAATATGAGTTTTCTTCATGAGCATTCTGCTTGTACAGCGTTTTGAACTTTTTTGGAAACCATCATCCACAATTTACTTTTAAAAAGGCTCTATAGCAAATAGGCAACCAGCAATACATTTTTATAGATGTTATTACACAGTTTGTCTAAATATGAATTAACGCACAAATAAGAGACTCCCCATTTTAACTAAGATTTTCTATAAAATGGACTTAGTTTGAAACTCATTTTGCTTTTTGGTGTAAAGAAATTTGTAATTTATGATGCTGCTTGTTCAAAAGTGGCAAATTACAACTTTCTTTACAACAAATAGTAATTTGAGTTTCAAACTAACTCCATATTATAGAAAATCTGCATTAGAATTGAGGAAAGTCTGTTATTTGTGAATTGATTCATATTTAGACAAACTGTAATAAAATCTATAAAAATGTATTGCGGGTTGCCTATTTGCTATGAGCCCTATATAGACCTAGTAAACTATGGACTGGCCCTAGAAAGAGAGGTCAATCACGCTGATGTGTGCAAGGCAGATGAAGCTAGTTGAGGCAAATACCGGTAAAATAAATGATGGTACACGAGTATACCGGTACAAAATGCTGTAAACAAACTTTGAAGTAAATGTCATGCATTGACATTATTGATTGATTTCTTGAATTTTTGTGTGATTTAGTTAGTGTATGTGATAGATTCGTAAAAACTAAACATGGTGAAGTCGTGTTCTGAGATTAATTTGCTTAGAGACGTTTAAGTGGAGAAAAAATTAAATTTCATAGGAAAGAAGTTATGACGGTACCAACATGTTTATACTTTTTGCAACTTTCTGAAAAAACTGACCAAGTAGAGTTGTCTCTGATGACAACATATTAGATTAAATTATTTCCCCCATCCTCAAAATAAAGTGTCATTTTAACATCAAACCGAATATAAAGAAAAAGTTTTAACTGAAATGTGCTTAGATGTGCTCCAGCAAAAATTCTCTTCAAATAATATGTTGAACGAAGAAAGCATCGACATAGTTTCAATTTATGCAGTTCTGCAAAGCAAGAAAATATGAAATATTTAAAACAACTACGTCAGAAGAGCTTGCAGTAATGTTAACCAATCGAGTTTACGATATGAGGAAAATAAATGGAGAAATACATAAAGAAAACATTATAAAAACTATTTGGAATATTATAGCTAAAATAATTCAAATATTGTACTGTAATTAGGACAGTAATATAATAAAACCCTTTTACATTCCTACACTACTGGAAAAAATGAAAATTTTTTGTCTTAGTCTATATTATCTTTATAGTCTTTGAATACGGCCCAACAGAATAAAAAGGGTATGGTTGAATTAAATGTAGCGCGTTGCAGTCGAAATTCTGTGAACGAAGCTTAAGCCCTTACTAGCTCCATCTCTCTCGCACACGTCTGAGCGATTGCCGTTTATATAGGTAAAATGACAGTTGGGCGAGTCCAGTAGTTTATAAGGTCTATGGAGCCCTCTTAAAATTTGTAAATTATTTCGATTAGTTTTTCCCCCTAGTGACAATTACGGCAATTAACCAAAGAATTTCAAAGAAACGGTTCTAATATAAAGCCCCATCTATTGAACAGATTTCAAATAAACTAAGAAGCAACCGTAATGTGCTTAGAGAACTGTAGTAGCTCTTGGTTAGCTTAGCCTTATACCGAATAGATGGCGCATTACGCGCATCTGTTAAGATAACTGTAATACCGCTGAATTCAATTATTATTTAATTGAGCTTGCGCCTTATAGATGGCGCCTCTTCTCAAAAATTTATAAGGAATTTACACTTTTACAACACTTCTTGATAACCTTGATATGAAATTATTCCTCCCTGGCCTGCATTAATTTTTCACATTGTATAGATTTGTTCATCAGTGACGGCGACTAGTTAAAATCTAACAATCTCGGAAGTCAGCAACTCCACACGCCTTTGGACACTGGACAGTCAGTCAGTCGATTTTTCTTAAACATTTTAGACCTCAAAAAAATCTGAAAAATTTCCCATTGGCTACAACAGAGCTCTAGCGACTTTGAAATTGTAATCAGTTCCCTTCTAGTCTTCGAGGTTTTGGAGATTTTTTATATTTTTCCTCAACGAACGCACTTAGACAAAAACTATCTCGGCGTGATTATCGGCTTTCAATTTAATTATTCTAATTCTACGTGTCGCCATCTACTGCTTAGGCATCATAATATATTAAGAGATTCTATCTTGAGTGTAGGTAGCTGTAATATTGCTATAGGTATCTGTAATACGCCTGCTATGTGACAGAATTAGTTATGTCCTTGATTTGCAGATGGCGCTTTCGTATGTTAGGGAAATTAGTTTTGATATACTACGCCTACTACGCCAGTTTTCAGTGGGAACCAATTTGTGTGTTTGATGTATGGTGACTATGGTGGGAACATTAAATAAGACAGTTATATTAACATAATATTTATTAACGTTGTATATACAGGAAAAAATTAAGGCACATTATAAAAATACAATACACTGGCCTACATAATATCTATATTTAAATATAATAAATTCTAGTATATTAAGTACAGTTGTTACAAAAAATGGAAATACCTTTTAAAGTTTTTAATTAAATTAACCACAAATACTGTAAAGTATAGAGCTATATAACTATTAATATAAAAAAATATGGCCTATAAATAAAGTCACTTTGGTGACATATATTTAGAATATCATACAATTCACCATTTTATTATTTGAGCAAATAAAAATATGGGAAAACGTGGAAAAAATTTTAAATTGGGAAAAATTATACTACAAAGTAAATAGTAAGGAGTTGGTCGCAAAATTACGATAATCATACACAAGCCTTTAAATTATATAGGTACATGTGTTGAATACAATTAAATAAGTAATTAATTATAAACTGTTTTAATGTTTCTTGAATCATTAAAATTTACTCTGTAGTATTAATTATCCCTCATAAAATAAAATTGTGCATACCAAAACAATTTTTTTAAAGATTTGATGGTCGAAACAGGGTCATAGCCAGGCACAGTACAGTCCATTCTACAAATTTTGCTCGACATAGTACAGTGATCAAAATATAACAAAGTTGTTCAGATTAGTTGATCAAATCACAAATATAATTTGTAATTCAAATTAAGGGGTGTAGTTTTGCGAAAAAAATGCTTTGTTACCCAGATACAGGGTGTTGAAATTTCATTCTCAGATTTCTTTAAAAAATATAATAAACGTTATGCCGCTCTGTGAAGCACAAACATTGAGTCAGTCGCTGACCGTCTGTTGTATGCTCCCTCGCTTATTAATTACATCGCGAGTGACAATTTAAGAATCTAAGACGATCGGTACATAGAATGGAGCATGTATTATATTGTTTACTATCATGATCACTATATTTGATGTTAGAATCGAATGACCTGTACAGAAAAGCATTAGACTTGCCCCTTCCGCAAGTTTAATACCTTGCCTTAACATTGCCTCCTGGCAATGACCCTTGATCCAATATTTAAGTCGAATTTTATTTTGTGAACAAATTTCACGATAATTGACCCAATACCGTCCATTTGCTTTCTTTGCGGAATAATATTGCCGTTCAACACACTCAAAAAGCAGTAACGACTACTACGTTAACGAAATATAAAAAGAAGTAACAGTTACTACAGGAACGATAATGTTTACTGTCATTAGAAAAACGTAATGTGCGTAAACAGAATCGATTCCTATAACAGCTATTACGTGTACACTATTTTAAGAATAATTAATATATCACATATCAACAAATAACAAATAATGACTATGGTTTTATAATTTTACCCATAACAAACATAGAAACAGTGCTGTTTTAAGGGCAATTAAATCAACGCCTTATTTACAACATTTCAAAATGTTAAAATTTTCTATAATATATATGCTATTCCCAGATATGTTACCATATCATCACGATAATATATAAAAACGTACACACTGCTTTTTCACATCGTATTTCATATAAAAATTACTGTAATAATTAGTTACAAGGGGAAATGCAAAAATGTATGCAAAATTATGAACATATGTTAGGCAACAGATGCATTAGAATTTACTTTTGTCCACACCGTTTACACAGATTTCAAAGAAAACACAGCATTACATAATCCTACAAGGATAAAGTGTTCCAGAAACTGAAAAATTATTCTTGCATTTCCCACGATTATAAAGAAAATTATATATTTTCCTTGCACCAAGTCAACTTAGAAGACAGTCTTAAATGATAGGTTCACCTGTTAAGTACCATGTATACTAAAATGGAATGTGATATTTTGAGCACTAAAATATAGGATATGTCAATCGGAATATGTAGAGTAATAACGATATGTACAGGAGTTTGAATTCGAATGATTGATAAGTTTTAATTTTGAAAAAATTATTCAATGATTCCTTTTATCCAAAAATTTCGATAGCTATTGTAACATGTTCAAATATGTCTTCCGCTCTTTCTCGGGGGAATTACTTAAAAATTAAGCAGGATGTAAATCTCAAGGAATGGGTACAAATTGACTATCTAAAGCTACTTACTTTTCTCTTATTTTTGCTACAATAAAAAAGTTTCATGTTAATATACGTTAGATTTTTTCGAAATTCCGCCAAACCACATTTTTAACGATATAAATGTTTCACAAACTGCGAAACAGATTATTTAATACTAACATGGAGTTATCTTATCGAAGGCAGTATTAAAATTGATGATTTAGTCATACAATTCCTATATTAAGTGGATATACAGAATTTTCCGATTTATAGTACAACCGTTCACATAAATAAAAAATAAATTAAGCAAATTTGTTTTTAAGTATCCAAAAAAGCGTATCATAGGGAATTATAACTTCTCAAAATTGCCAATCCTATGCTTGATATGATTTTTTCAAGTTTTAAAAAATTGAGTAGTTCACAAAATGTCCATATTCTTATAAATATGAATAATAATATGAATTATATAAATTCATATTAAAATTTACATAATATGAGGTTGTAAAAATTCCTGTTATATTTTCATTTATTTCAATAATTTTACTATTCTATTCTCAATATTGAAGAAAAAGGGCAATTTCTGTTTGCCCTGCAATTTGGATATCACTGATAATGTTCCCATCCCAATTTTTATAAAGATGTATTCAGTTTTAAATTTATGTATAAAATTTGGATACATTAAAATTCTTAGTATATTTTCATTTACTTAAATTTTGTTACTTTTCGTTTTGTTTGCACTTGTTTTAAAAATAAAGCACATCTCAAAATGTCCCTTGCCAATTTTTAAAAAGATGCACTCACTTTGAAATTTATATACCTATAAAATTTTATGATCGCCGGTATATTTTAATTTATTTTAATAATTTAATAACATTTTGTTTATTTAATATTTACATAATTAATATAAAAAGGAGGCAAATTTCAAATTGAACTAGTATTAAAAATTGGACACCAAATTTTTGGAATGATTGATGAATGATGAATTTAAAATTTATGTACAAAATTTTAAAACGTAAAAATTCTCAGTATATTTTTATTTATTTCAATAATTTAACTACTTGTTTATTTAACGTTTTGTACTAAAACTTGAGCAAAACTCGAAATATCCGCATCCCATTTTTTATGAAAATTCAATCATTTTAAATTTATGTACAACATTATGAAAATGTACCAATTCCTGGTATAATTTCATTTATTTCAATAATTTAGTTACGTTTTGCTATATTTTTCAAAACCTCATTCCAATTTTTAGAAAAATTCAATCAATTTAAAATTTATATATACATAAAATTTTAAAATGTCAAAAATCAATGTCTATTTTTATATACATATTTCAATAATCTAACTACTCCTTCTTTTGTTTATTTTTTTTTCACTAAAAATTGATCACCTGAAAATATCCTCAACTTAATTTTTATGAAATTTCATTCGATTTTAAATTTATATACAAAATATGAAAATATACCAATTCCTGGTATATTTTCATTTATTTCAATAATTTAATTACTTCTTGTTTTATTAAATCATCCCAATTTTTAGAAAGATGCAATCAATTTAAAATTTACATAAAAAGTTTTAAAATACCGTCTATTTTTATATATTTCAATAATTTAACTACTCTACTCCTTCAGTTTATTTAAAGTTTTGTACTAAATATTGAGGTCTTCAAAATATCCCCAACTTAATTTTTATGAAAATTCATTCGTCATCCTAATTTTTAGAAAGATGCAATCAATTTAAAATTTATGTACAAAATTTTAAAATGTAAAAATTCCCTGTCTATTTTTATATATTTAAATAATTTAATTACTCCTTCTGTTTATTTAATGTTTTGTACTAAATATTGAGGTCCTCAAAATATCCCCAACTTAATTTTTATGAAAATTCATTCGCTTTTAAATTTATAAACAAAATATGAAAATATACCAATTCCTGATATATTTTCATTTATTTCACTAATTTAATTACTTCTTGTTTTATTTATCATCCTAATTTTTAGAAAGATATAATCAATTTAAAATTTATTTACAAAATTTTAAAATGTAAAAATTCCCTGTCTATTTTTATATATTTCAATAATTTAACTACTCCTGTTTATTTAATGTTTTGAGGTCCTCAAAATATCTCCAACTTAATTCTTATGAATATCATTCGTTTTTAAATTTATCTACAAAATTTGAAGATATACCAAATCCTGGTATATTTTCATTTATTTCAATAATTTAACTATTCCTTTTGTTTATTTAATTTTTCTTCAAATGATATCAAAGAAAGTAATTATTATTTTTATAAAGATGCATTCAAATTTAAATTTAAACGTAAAAATTGAAAATGGAACAATTTCTATTTTATATTTTCATTTCATCAAGAAATTAATAACTTTTTGTTTTATTTAATTCTTTCTTGAAAAATTAATTTCTAATACTCGAAAAAAGGCAAATTCCAGAAGTTTTGGTTCCCAAAAAAATCAGTCATTTTCAATTTCCAGAAAGTTACAGTTTCAAATTTGAGCGTCCTAACAATACTTGAACTTTATTTGTTTTTTACTTACTGTGTTAACGATTTTTGCACCCATAAATCGAAACGCCCTGTAGATAGATAATATGATTTTCATCAGTAAAAAAAAATTATTCTCTTGAAGATATTCCATAAACACCCTATGAAACACATAAAATTTATCTTAATGTGGTTTGCCAATTCCCTAATATTCCCTAAGTCAAGCGACGGGCCACCCGATTTTATGAAAATTTCACATTTAATTGCAATTTTACACAAACTTTCTTACAAAATTTTGTACACTGTTAAAAAAAAACAATTAGAACAAAGTTCGTCGAGTCCACTTAACTAAAACAGGAATACGTCGTTATTAAAAAAATCACAGTTTGCTGGAATCGTAATTTTCCAACGACCACTTCTGTCTCTGTGAGTCACTGTCGCACTGTTCCATCAACACTTTATTTTTCGATTCGTTTATCGCTAAGCACTTGTCACTGCTGCCGTGCCGCAGGAGCTTCAGCTCCGAGTCGTAGTCCCAATATTGGTTGCCCTTGCTGCCGTGGCAGGGGTAGAGGATCACCTCTTGGCCGCTGTAATCCAGGCAAGCCTCGTCCCTGCGGATCTCGCCAGCCTTGCTGTACATCCAGAACTGGAAAAATGGAAAATAAATGAATGAGTATTCCGGAAAGTTTAAAATTTTAATTTTATTATACCAAAAAGCCTTAGTTTGTAGTTAGTTGTATGAAACAGTTGATGTTAAAACCAGTAATGAAAAAGTACAGGAAAAAAACATAGTTATTAACAAAGAGTTATGCAAATTCTAATTTTCTATTTATTTATGCGATTGTTGCCAAGATTATTGGAATTATCTAAAAGAGGAACAATAAAAGACCAATATTTTTAAGTGCTTAACAATTTTGTGATAAAAATTTCCTGTTTTAATTAAATGAAAACGATAACTAAAAGTAAATGTTCTCATTCTGTAATATGTCCCATTTAATTTAACTTACCAACATATTACAAAATAGTTAAATAAACCCTTGCGTCAAATGGACCAGTCTCAGGTTATTTTAGTCGAGGAAATAAAGCACTGAAAATGGCCTTACCTCCGAAATCTGTGCAGTAAGATGGATCGTGATGCAGTTTGTTGCATCAATGAGAAATGAAAATTGTATTGGTGCATAAGAAAAATGCATTTTTAAAATTGCATCTCGAAGAGTTAAAGGATGAAAAATTTATAACTGGGAAAATATTGACGGAAATGAGTTCAATTTTCGTACTCGGGGGTTTTTGGGGTCGCTGAACACGAATATCATGACGGCAACGGTCTCCGAGGTACCTGGTGTCCAGAACTGCCGATTTCCACGTCGTCTCCTGGAGTTTTGTGGAAATTCGTTATAAACTTAGCCGAAACTCGTTACCTCGGGGTTTTTGAGGTCGCTCAACACGAATATCACGACGGTAACGGTCCTCGAGGTACCTAGTACCCAGGATGGCTGGTTTCTGTGACAACTATTTCATTTTTAGTTATTTTTTATTATAAAAATACATTTATTAATGCAATTTTCATTTCTCATTGATCACTTTCTAGACGCTCTAACGAATCGAATGCAAAAAACCGCATATCACGATCCATCTTACTGCACAGATTTCGGAGGTTCAGTGTTTCATTTTCTCGACTATTTTATGTAACTAAAATATCTCTGAAAAAAATGCAGACAAAAACACATCACTTAATATCGCGCAACTTAAAAAGATCGTCAAAGTTTCGAAAATCCACTGTTTTCGTCTTCCGAACATTTTTTTTACTTTCCTTTTAAAAGCTTTGACAGTTTAAATTTGTTTGCTTTTGTCTGTTTCCATAGCTAGAGAGATCATACGATATTTATTCTACAGGGTGTTTCAATTTTCAATTCAGCTCACGACGATATATGACTTTTTAAATTTTGGTTTGAATGTGACAATAAAATCATCACTTAAAGAAATAAGACAAAATATCCTACTGATAGAATGTTATTTCTTTAGATGTTCAAATTGGTTTCCCTCCGCTTCCATACGATAATAAAATCTTTGATCCACTTCCCAACGAACATTTCGGGCGTTATCTGACGACATTCTTCAACAATTTCTCGATAAAAATTTTTTTGTTTTGATTTTTCGTTTATCTGTCAATACAAAAAACTTCAAACTCTATCAGTTCTACTTTAATACCTGTTTTACTTTAAACGAGACAATATTGTCTCATCTTGTTTTGTCGAGACAATATTCCGTAAAATTACCACATCACATAGACGATTGAATTCCATTTCGTGAAAATGGTTTACAATTGCTGAAAAAGTGGAAATAATGTTTTTTTCTATAAGAATAATGACTGCACGGCAAGCAGCACAGTTTTTTAATGATAGTCATCCTGATAAAAACACTTGGCATCGGTATGTCCTGGATTTAGTACATACATTTTTGGAAACTGGATCGGTTGCAAACAGAAAGCATCAATGTGAACAGGTCGTAGGTATGTAATGAGAGTAATCGGGTAGTCGCCTTGGCTCACATCGCAATGGAACGAAATTTGAGTCTCAGGAAACTTGCAAGTACTTCAAGAATAGCTGTACCTACTTGCCACCGAATCTTAATTCATAAGTATCACCCATACAAAATTAATTTGGTAAAAGAAATTAATGAAGACGATCCTGATCGTCACTTGCAGATCTGCAGAAATGCATGAGTGATCGTGCTCGAAGGAATCAAATTTTTTTGTACTCAATCTGTTTTTCCGATGAATGTACGTTCCAACTGGATGGTCGAGTAAACCGCCATAATGAAAATCCACGCATTTTTCATGAAACTCATACTCAGCATCCGAGGAAATTGAATGTTTGGGCGGGCATACTGGGAGACCACCCCATAGGACCTTTCTTTCTACCGGGAAATCTGGATGGAAACATGTATCTACTGGAAACGAACTCGATGATTGTGGAAGTATTGGAAAATGACAATGCTTTGCCAGAAGAGGATGTGTGGTTTCAGCAGGATGGTGCTCCACCACATTATGCTGTAGCTGTGCGTGATTTTCTTAATCAGAACTTTCCAAATTACTGGATAGGACGCAGAGGTTTAATTGAGTGGCCTCCCAGATCGCCAGATCTAATGCCCTTAGACTTTTTTCTAGAGGGATACTTAAAATCGAATACTCACTTGAGGAGTTTCGTCGGCGAATTGTTCGTCATCGAAAGAGGAGCAAAGATTTTTTTTTATTGTATGAAAGGGAAGGAAACCAATTTGAACGTTTAATAAAATAACATTCTTTCATGCCATCACATCGTAATCGATGTGTCTCAGTTTTTTTTGTTTCATTCAACAAAATAATCGCTGTCTTTTTTAATTTTCTTTTAAGGTATTAATTATATCTTCCTTTTCCAATATTTTTGCCGATTTATGCTACTAAAACCAAAAGCCAAAAAAAAAAGTTCAGAAGACGATAATAGTGAATTTTCAAAACGTTAAAGACCTTTTCAAGTTTAAAGTGATGTGTTTTTGTATTTTGTCTTTGTCTGCTTTTCTTTCAGTGTGTGATTTTTTGGTCAGGCAAAACTATTTTCATAAAAATAACCCTTGACTGATTCATTTGGCACAATTTTAATAATTTTTTAAATTTTTGGGGTGACAAAATACCCAAAAAATAAAGAAAAAAAAAAACGAAAACTAGACCCCAAATAAATAACTTCAAACAATATCTTATTAAAATATTTATCATTTACTTGTTGGTCTCTTTCAGTTCATCAAAAGCGCTTCTCCCCCAAGTACGAATAAAACAAAAAAGGGAACAAAATAAAATAGTTTCCCGCTTCCGCTTTGCCTTAAAGGAAATAGAATGCCCACTTTTAAATGAATATAGCTTTTGTCTAAAACTCGAAGTGAACCTGAAAAGAGCAACTCCAAAGTTTTGCAGAAATGCCTAGGTACGTCAGGCTGCAGAAAGTGCAACGATTTACGGCCACACAATAAGAGAATAATACAGCAGCGCTACGGGAACAGCGCTACACGAGTTAAACAAGACGTTATCATTAAGGGCACCAAAAGACTTCGCTAGAAACTAGAAACACGTATATTCTCGGGTTAATAATGACTTTTCGTGCCTCAGTGAGTAATTCGCTTTGCGGATTCGCTGACACGTATCTTCCCAATCTAGTTTTTAAAGTATAAAGTGGGAAAACAATGTAGAACGTTTTTGTTCAGTCTCAATATGGCAAAAATTTAATTGGCGTGTTATTTCTTTTCTGGTGTTAATTTAAAGTCACCATATGTTTTTTGATATTACTGTGATCGAACATTAAAAACTAGACATTCTATCGTTTCTTACATGATTTATTAAATATTAACTAATATTTGGTATGGTTTAGGTAATCAATTGTGAAAACATATTAATTTAATATTACAACCACTGTTATTTTAAATTCACAATATTTTATTCTGCGTTACTGTGGACGAAGCGCCGAACACTAAAACCGTTGTTCTGTTGCAGTATGCCTTTGAAGGCCCGGAAGAACTAACTGTCCTCGCACCTGATTAAAACAGGAATTGCCGAAAACTGCACTGATTCATTTGGGTACATACTTGCTTAGCCTCCGACTTTATCGGTTTGGGGAAGGTTGTACATAAAGTGTCTTTATGTGGTGTAAGTGTATACTCTTATAAAGCTATTTATTTCAGTGTTCAATGACGATATAGTGAAATTTTCTGTTTTAATGAAATTGCCAGTCTTTGGTAGATTATGAAAAAGCATGTATACGAATCAAGAAAGAGTTGATATGGTTAAAGCCTAATTTTTGTCAGGAGCAAAGAAAACGATATCAGATAGATTACGCCGACTTATAAGTACTGAATAGGAAAGTGTTTGTCAGATTGGTACAACATTTAAGAGGCTATGAGATCTTTGAACTAGAAATTTTGAACGGCGTGGAAGAGGATACTGATACTAGTACTCCAAAATTTGTTACAAAATCGTAAGTGTTATTTGCTTTTTAATAACTTTTTCTTTAAAAATAAGATTTGACAACAATGTACAACCCAGTTTTCAATTGTACATGCTCTGCGACTAAAGCGCGCCGTAGTTTGAAGTTCCACTAGCTTGTCCAGCGGCGTGGAAAAAAGGATAAAATAAAATTACACAACGGAATTTCAAAAATAAACTACTGATATATAAAGGTCAAAGGAAGCCTTTGTAAAAATATGACCTCCACACAAAGTTACACCCTATTTTTCGAAACAAGTACGATAGGATACATCATTTTTACGATATCTTAAAAGTCTCAAAAGTATCTTGTTCATTTTAAGAGGTGAAATGTCGAAAAACTTTTAAGATACTGTAAAACGTATATCAATCCCCCTCCTTTAAAAAGTAATATTTGCTTTACTTACAAATACTTTTATAAAAAAGTTTATATCGAATATCTCCTAAAAAAATTCACTTAATTATGCAAGGTATCTTTTCATATATATATTTTTTTCCAAAAGTGGATAATTAAAGGGACATACTACTTTAAACAAGGAAGGTAGATGCCACGAATTTACGATATCTTAAAACTCCTTTGAGATATCTTACTTTTTCATTACCAAACCTCGAAAGACTTTTAAGTAAAAAAATTGATT